AAAACACCTATCATGAATGCTCCAAATATATTCACTGATGGATCAAATAATGGTATAGCAGCAGTAGTTACCCCTGATCAAACTTTTACATTTTTAGTACCCAAACAATCAGCTCAAAAGGTAGAGCTTAATGCAGTATTACAAGCTTTTGTGATGTTTAAAGAATCTGAATTTAATTTATTTTCTGATAGTCAGTATATAGTTAATGCTATATTATCCCTTGAATATGATGGTGGGATTTCCCCTTCCTCTACTGTTTTCTCTTTGTTTTCCACTATACAAAGTCTAATCTGGGACAGAAAAGATCCATTCTTTATAGGACATATCAGGGCACATACAGGATTGCCTGGAGCCCTTAGTTTGGGCAATGATTTAGCAGATCAAACTACACATGACATACATATTTTCTCTACACTAAAAGAAGCTACAAATTTTCATAAAAGGTTCCATTTCAATGCTAATACTTTACAAAAGCATTTTAAAATAACTAAGGAACAAGCTAGACAAATAATAAAACAATGTCAAAATTGTGTGACCTTTTTACTACAAGTGAATCTTGGAGTCAATCCTAGAGGACTGATACCTAATCATATTTGGCAGATGGACATACTTGCCAGAATTTGGAAAATTAAAATATTTGCATGTTACAGTTGATACTTCTTCCAGACTTTTGATGAGCTCTCTTCATGCAGGAGAAAAAAACTAAAGATATTATAGCTCATTGCTTACAAAATTTTGCCACTGTGGGCATTTCAAAACAGTTAAAAACAGATAATGCCCCTGGTTATACTTCTACCTCTTTTAAACAATTTTGCTCATCATTTGGCATTACTCATATAACAGGAATCCCATACAATCTACAGGGACAAGGCATAGTTGAAAGAGCTCATCAAACTATTAAAATGTACTTATTAAAGCAAAAAGAGAGAATTGGGAAGGGGTATATATCCCCCAAAGATAAACTTAAAATAACCCTTTTTACTCTAAACTTTTTAAATTTGATTTCATCAGGGCTTAGTGCTGCGGAAAGGCATATGTGTCCAAAAAAATGTACATAAGCCTAAGGTACTTTGGAAGGATATTCTGACAGGACAATAGAAAGGTCCTGACCCAGTGATTGTCTGGAGTCGGGGTTCTGTTTGTCTGTTTCCACAGGGAGAACAGCAGCCGATTTGGATTCCAGAGAGATTAACTAAAGCGATTTCTACAGACCAAAAAGAAGATGATTTGGCTCAAATCCATAACAGCTGATATTCAGAACTCCAGTTTGGCTATTCTTACATCTGCGACAGTGATTCTCCCACACCTGGGAGGCTAATGAATAATGAACACCATTAAGGCCTATTTCAAATGTAAGAAACCTTGAGGCTTGCTTGTGGGAATACCTTCAGACCCATTATGCAAGTTACAGGAAGAAGGATGGCATATCATAAGAAGAGTCAAACCCAGGTGGTAACCAGAATGCTTTTTTTCAATATCTATTTTATTATTGCCTTTTCCCACATCATGAACTTTTAGTTTATTTTTTGAGCTCGTACAGGCCTAGGTTAATGTTTTTCTGATCAGTTCTATTTTATGACTGTGGAGTTTTTAAACATTGCAATGGAGATTTCACCTGTGTAAAGCTACAAGGCCTTTACTATTGTCTTATGTGTTGTATGTTATGTGTGCACACTTCTGTTTTGTGTTGTATGTCTGTATGTATGTATGTCCATATATATGAGGAGCGCTCATGAAAAAATGGATCCAAATATTTTTTTTTTATTCACGTGATTTAAATGGTTTAATTTAAATTGGGTAAACAGCTGTTGAGGATTGTTTTAATATGTGAACAAAAAAGGAGGTTAACAGATCTGTTTGTTTACTTTTACCTTTCCTTTTCATTATATTTAATAATTCTGTTCAGGATAATGTAAATTGTTCAAAAAATTGTTTTCTTAGTGCCTGCTGGAATGTTACATAATTTTTTTTTAGCCATCATTGCCAGAATTCCTATCTTCATCCCAGTGCCAGTGAAGACAAAGATAAAACTAAGCTACAGCTTCTTCGATAGCTATCACAGTAAACTGTATAAACTGATGCATCAATGAATAATAACTCAGCAAGTGATGCTAAATCAAGGAGTCGATTTACTTTGGGAGGAAATGGACATATTAATAGATTCCTCTGCTTTGAACTGCTTGCAGAACTTGCATGGACTATGTATCACTTGCATGCATTGTGAACTATCTGTTGGTGCAGTGAATTGTGGTATTGCTGGGGTATCTTTGCTGATGGTGTCATCAGTAGTACAATTTTTCCAATAAGAGCCGTCATTTGGCTTGGTGCCATGGCATTTTGCATCCTCCTCCCTTTCTGCTTGTGATGGTCTAAAATTTGGGGGCCATCAGAGGTGAGGCAACGAACCTCACCCCCTCTCCCCCACTGGTGCAAAGGCCTATCCACAAATATGGCTGTATGCTGGACTGGTAGTCAATGACGGGTAAGATCCAATTACAGTGGTACCAACCTAAGACAGGAGGCTGACACCTTGAGGTCAGCTCATCCGATGACAGGTAAGGACCATACGTAGTATTGGACAACCTAAGACGGGCACGGTCCCTAAGCCACATGCTTGTTGTTTAGTTAAACAGAAGGGGGGAGGTGTTGAGAGCCACAGTTTAGTCAGAATGATGCCTGGCATTTTTGCCAGGGGAATGGTTGAAAGGTGACCCTGCTCAGGGATTAGGGTGGATCCTGCTGGGAATAGGGCGGATCCTGCTGCCTGGGGGCCTGCTACTTTGGAGTTCCTGTTGAATTCTCGTGGGGTTCTGAGAGAATTGGCGCTGGGAGCCCGGTGGAGGCAGTGTGTTCCTGGGAAGTGTGTGTGTAGAGTGCCTGTGTGTGTAGAGTTCGGGAATAAAGGTTGCTGTTTGAACCTACAAGGCGGTGTGGCGGCTCGGTTATTTTGTGCCCAGCCAGACTGTGGCAATTAAGTGCCTCTGAGTTTAATCCCAAATTAAAAAAAAATCAAATCAAATTTGTCATCCTCTTGCCTCAGCCTCCCAAGTTGCTGGGATTATAGATGTGTCCACAATGCCTGGCCCTCAAACTATATCCTATGGCTGAGTTTTATAATCTTTGTAATTCTTCCTCACCTAATTTGAGTTTTCATAAAGTTCACAAAAATCAAAGTTTTCCAAACTAATAAAGTGAATCATAGTGGACTAAATGTTTGTGTCCCATCTAAAATTCTTAGATTGAAATCCTAACACCCAGTGAAATGGGATTATTATGGGGAATTATGAAATAATTCCAAACAACTGTTAAAGTCTTGCGTTTTTAAAATATGTTTATTTTCTAGTTGTAGTTGGACACAATATCTTTATTTTGTTTATTTTTATGTGGTGCTGAGGATTGAACCCAGGGCCTCGCTCGTGCTAGGCAAGCACTCTAGCGCTGAGCCACCACCCCAGCCCTAAAGTCTTGGTTTTTAAACTTACAAATTGAACATATAATTGCATATAAACATGAAAATTATAGGACTGAGGTAGAGCTCTCAGCTACCATACACAAGGCTTTGTTTCAATCCCTAGAACCACTAAGGGGACAAAAAATAAATAAAAACAGGAAAATTATGTGACACATTTTAGCTTTGTGAATTAACATTTTATACCAGAAAAGTAAATATTTTTTTTCTTAGACTTTAAATATTATCTTAAAAGATTAATTGATGGAAAACTAAATATCAGGAATATACATGAATCTATAAATTCAGTGTTGTGAAAAAAAATTCTCTTGCAATACTCTCATCAGCATCAGAACTGAGGTTAAAAGTTACAATGGATATCTGGAGGTATAACTCAGTGGTGAAGCACTTGCCTACCATGGGCAAGTTCTGGGATTGATCCCCACTTTCTCCCACAGAAAAATTACGTTTCAAAGGGATTTATATTCAAAACTTTGTCCCTAATTTGTAGGCATGAAACTGTGTTGCTGTAGGATAAACCTGACTAACCAAATTTGTGTCTCTATTAGGATTAATACTTTGTCTTAATTTACTTATGTTCACTTAAATCCCTAATGAACATTGTTTTTTTTTTTTTTTTTTTTTTTTTGGTAAAGCCATCTACTTCTTTACAGGACTGTGGCTATTTGATTTTTATTAGCTTTTTCAAATTTATATAATACATAGTACTTTATTTTTTTAGTTATAGATGGCATAATATCTTTATTTTATTTTCTTATATTTATGTAGTGCTGAGGATTGAATCCAGTGCCTCACACATGCTGGGCAAGTGCTCTACCATTGAATAAACTACAATCTCAGCCCCACATAGTGCTTTCTTTAGCCATTAAAAATACATTAAAAATTAAACACAGTAGTTTGGAAAATATATTTTACTTTAAGCTATAAAGTTAATTGAAAAGTGCTAGGAATTAAGTTAATCCAATGCTTTGTAAATTAGATTTAAAGATTAGGAAGGGTGTTAGTCTTTAAAGCCTCTGTGCCTTACTTGCAACAATTCTGAAACCACTTAACAATAGGTTATAGACCCAGTAAAACTGAGAAATTGGTTAATATGTGATGGTGCATTCTCAGGGAAATTTAAGAAAGATGATTTAAAATGGTAAAGCTAGCAAATTTATAAGCAGATAAAGGCTTTTGAATAGTGTACAACCATTTTCAAATTCTAGAGTACAGGGAAATACTTTGAAATTTCAGAAGTAATAATTCATTGCAAAGTGATGATTAAAACAAAGGCAAGAAAAACAATAATGACCCATCTTTGTTCACTGCTGCCAAAAATTCTGTTGTGTAATGTTCATAAAAATCATTATGTATTCTGCCTTGAATTGTGGATCAAGTCACAAAAGAGTACAGTGGCAGTGTCTTGTCCCTGAAAGGGGAAAAAGCCCAAAAGTAGTTAGAAAATTTCTTTTTACATAGGTTTTCTTTTCCCAAACTTATTAAGCTAAAATACAACCCAATTACTTTAGCAATTTATGGACAATCATAGTCTTATTTGAAAACTGTTTTTATTGGACAAACTCAGTGGGAATATGACCTCATGCTGTAGATTTATCAAAAAGTGGGAAATTATAAACCAGGCTCAGTGGTGTACACCTGTAATCCCAGTGACTCAGGAGGATCTTAAGTTTCAAGCCAGCCTCAGCAACTCAGCGAGAACTTAACTTCTCACTACATTACCTAGGACCAATGTCTCCAAAACAACAAACGAACAAAAAGGGTTGGAGATATGGTTCAGGATTAAATGTCCCTTATTTCAGTCCCTGGTACCAAAAATAAAAGTAGGAAACGATATGGTTTTGGGTTTTGGAACCAGGGGTTGAACTCAAGAGGCATTGGACCACTGAGCCACATCCCTAGCCCTATTTTGTATTTTATTTAGAGACAGGGTCTCACTGAGCTGCTTATTAGCACCTCATCATTGCTGAGGTTGGCTTTGAACTCAAGATCTTCCTGCCTCAGTTTCCTGAGCCGCTAGGATTATAGGTGCACACCACCACACTCAGCATGATATGGATTTATGCCTCTTGAGTAGTTTCATTGTAACTCTTTCATTTGCTACTAATACCTAATCAAGAGTGAAGCAATAAAGTACAGATTTCTTTTCAGTGCTAGGAAAAGCGCTAGGAAAGTACTCTAGCACTGAGCTACATCCCAAATTTTTTAATTTTACTTTGAGACAGTAAGATGTGATCCTTCTGCCTCAGCCTCCCTCATAGTGGGGAATACATGCCTGCACCAACATACTATTTTTTTTTTTAACACCAAGGCATTAAGGTTTGCTTCCTAAAATTAAAATTCCCAAAGCTAGATGTGTATCAGAAAGTATAAAAAACAATTATCAATAAGTTAGGTGAATGACTAGGTGAAGTATTCATGCAAAACAACCCAAGGACAAAAATTAGATTTACCTAACATGGTGTAATGGAGACATCACTAAGCTGTAAGCCAAATGACTAGGATTCCACTCCTGCAAGTGGGTATGTGCTCTTGGCCTCATAACAACCTGAACCTGTAGCAAACTGTAGGTGGGTGTTGTGGCACTCACCTGTAATACCAGCAATCTGGGAGGCTGAGACAGGAATATCACAGGTATGAGGCCAGCCTGGCAATTTAATAAGACCCTTAACAATTCAGTGAGACCCATCTCAAAATATAAATAAAGTGCTGGGGATGCAGCTCAGTAGCAATACATGTCTGGGTTCAATCCCTAGTACCAAAAAATAAATAAATAAATAAAAAATTAAAGTGCTAAAATATTAGGTCTTCTGAGAAACATTTGTATCAGCACAGTCTTACCAGGAATATTATAATCAGATGGAATGTTTTTAGGAATGCAAGTATGCTTATATGACAAAAACAGAAATAAGGTTTATTATTGAGACCACATCTTGGTAAATTGTCCAGGCTGGCCTTGAATTTACAATCCTCCAGGGGCTGGGATTATGGAATAAACACTAAGACCAGCAATATGATGGGATGGATTTGAGAATATTTGTTGTAGCCACCCATCTCAAAATAAGACCAAATTCCGGGGTTGTAAATTGGTCTTTTCAACTGTATCAATATATCTGGGAAATAATAATGTTTGCAGCAATGCTTATTAAATTTGAAAGCAACATCAGGCATGGAGGCATACATTTATTTAATCTCAGCGACTCAGGAGGCTAATGCAGAACTATCACAAGTTTGAGTCCAGCTATAGCAATTTAGCCAGACCCTGTCTCAAAAAATAAAAAGGCCTGCAGATGTAGCTCAATGTAGAATGCCCCTGGATTCAATTCCCAGTACTGAAAAAAGGAAAAAAAAATGTACAATTCTATCTTCTTAGATCATTAAAATAGAGTAAGAGGACTAGGGAAGGAAGGAGGGGAAAGAATGTATGGATAAAGGAATGTACTAGGAAATGGAGAAAATTATGTGCATGTATAAATGTCACAATAAACCCTACTAGTATGTATAATTACAATGCACTAATAAAAACATATTTTAAAATTCTGTCTTGAAGGGCTGGGGATGTGGCTCAAGCGGTAGTGCGCTCGCCTGGGATGCGTGCGGCCCGGGTTCAATCCTGAGCACCACATACAAACAATGATGTTGTGTCCGCCAAAAACTAAAAAAATTCTCTAAAAAAAAAATTCTATCTTGATATTATTTTAGAAGCTATTTATTGATCTGTGATTGTTTCCCCAAATTCATGTTAGAAGTCCTCAGTACTTCAGGCCTTATTTGAATCTTTTTTTTTTTTTCCTGGTCCCTGGGGATTGAACTCAGGGGTACTAGACCACTGAGTCACATCCCCAACCCTATTTTGTATTTTATTTAGAGACAATCTGAGTTGCCTAGCACCTGCCTCCTGAGCTGCTGGGGTTACAGCTATGCGCCACCATACCCAGCCCTTATTTGAATGTTTATCAAATTAAAATGAAGCTAGTAGTATAGCCCCTAAAATACAGGATGACTGGTATGTCTATAAAGAGGAAATGTGGAAACAAGACTTAATACAAAGAGAATACCCTATGAACATGAATATGACCATGTATAAGCCAGAGAGAGAGATCTGGAACAGATTCTTCCCTCACAGGTTACAGAAGGAACAAACTGTGCCAATCCCTTTATTAACTTCTGCCCTTCAGAATTTCAATAAATTTCTGCTATTTAGGCAACCCAGTTTGTAATAATTTGTTATGGTAGCTATAGTCAATTAATAAAAATAATAAAGCTAATTTATCATTATCATGCCAGCAACTCCTTATCACCCAGATCTTCCTAATTTAATGAGTTTTCTCAATGTATAATTTGGTATCAGAAGTTTGGGCATTAGCCAGGGGTAGTGGCCCACACTTGTAATCCCAGTGGCTTGGGAGGCTGAGGCAGAAGGATCCCAAGTTAAAAGCCCAAATTCAAAGTGAGCCTTAGGAACTAAGTGAGACCCTGTCTCTAGATAAATAAAAAAGTTATGGAGATGTGGCTCAGTGGTTAAGTGTCCTGGGGGTTAAATTTCTGGTACCAAAAAAAAAAAAGAAGTTGGGCATATCTTCATAGTCCTATAATTGAAGATAAAATGTCAATCAGTTATGAAATGGTTACCTTTTTGTCTATTGCTTTACCATCTCCCCAATCTCAAAATTATTAAACAGATAGGGGATTTAAAAAATGAAAAACTGCCCCCCAAAATGGCATTTTCCCCTACTATAACGAAGACTTCCTACTGTTATTAATCACAGAGTCTACTGATTGCTTAGGGGTTAATTCCTGATGGGGATTACAAAAAGGGGGGGTGGTCTTATTAATGGAGTGTGAATGAACTTAAATGTATTTTATGTTCTTTTAGTTCTGGTAGTGCAGTAATTTAATAACTTCATACACTAAAAAACTAAGCCTATCTTGCGTTTAAAAAGGTTAATAGCACCATGGTTAAGGAAGGAAAACTGTAGATAGTTTTTTCAGTACATGTTTCTTCTCAATTCATAAAATTGAACCACATGCAAGACACCAAATTACAGTCACCAAGAATGATTAAAACTATATACTACCATGCAATTGAATACCACAATTAAGGTATAATTACATACTGGAAAATGTTACTTGTTAAAAGGCAAATCTCATGTTTTTAAAATTACCCATTTTAACATCTCAAAAAAAAAAAAGGTTGAATTTATTATTTCACAAAAACATTATGTAAATCAAAATAAAGAGAATAATCAAGTTGTTTCATGGACTGGAAGGTGACTTATTAATTCCCTTTCATTTCCAAACCTCATCAAGCAGTCACTACATTTATGAGGCAAGTCAGCCGAATGCTTGAAATCTAGATGAATTTTAAGATCTTCAATCTGTCCTGTTGAATATTCGCAATATTGACATAAATAAATCCCTTCAGATAGATGTGAATTTAAATGCTTGCAATATTCTAGCATACTTGAAAAGCCTTTCCCACAGTCATCACAAACATGAGGAAATATTTTAGTATGTTCAATAGCAACATGCCTGTTAACATTTGTATGAAGTCTACTCCGAAAACCACATACTTGACACACAAAGAAGTTCTTACATTTGTCAAAGGTAATTTTGCTTAAGAGGCTGTATTGTCCGTGTTCTCCATTGTTATACTTATCGCTTAGTTCTATTAATTTACACGCATGCTCATTTACAACATGGCTATGCAAGTCTTCTGGATCATTTGTTTCATGTTCACAGAACTGACACAAGTACTGTTCATCACAGCTGTGCTCCTGGAAATGCAGGTAGAGTTCGCTGCTTGAGGAGAACTGCACGTCACACTGCTCACACCAATACAGGTGATCACTAAAGTGGGTGTCTGCAATGTGCTGGCTGAGGTTCTCAAAAATTACTGTCCTGTAATCGCAGTATTTACAAATGTAGGGATCTTCTTCGTGTAGTTTGGCATGTTCAATCAGAAGCATATTGGTAGAGAAGCTTTCCTTACATACTCGACACACATTTGAATCGGTACGTTTATGCTTCAGGATCATATGCTGTTTTAAATCAGAAAAATATTTACTATTGAATTCACAAAGTTCACATTTATAGAGGCCACTGCTATTAGCTCTCAGTAAAGGCCATTTCTGCTGAGCAGTCACATTCAAAGCTTGGCTCTTGTCAAGAATTTTACAAAGCTTAGCTGGTGGTTCTTCATCAGTTTGGTCTTGGAGGCTCTCAGAGGAATTGTTTTCTGTCTCTATGTCATAATCCTCAGAAATGGCATGCACTTCTACAGCAATGGGGACATCTTCAGCGGTGTGAACTTCTATAGGACTCTCCTCTTGAGTTTGCTGGTTGATTGATTCGGGTGAATCACACTCTTCATCACAAATTTCTACATCAGCAGATTTTTCTGAAAAATGAAATGATCCTATTATTATATTACTGTTATTCAATTGATCAATTAGATAGATACCACAGTGCCAAAAGAAGTTTATGGTATGCACTGAGTTTTTCTCATAGGTCTATAGAAATATGCCAATATGATTAGTTTCCCTAACCTGCAGAAAAGGCAGTGTGGTCTATAATTCTAAGCACAGGACTGGGAACCAGATAGTTCTGATTTCTGTTTCTGGCCTTGATTCCATCTGCAAATTTTGGCAAGTCATTTGATGTCTCGGTATCAGAATCATCATCTGTAAAAAAAAAAAAAATTGGAAAAATTTTTATTATTTATATCAAAGCACTAAACATTATTATAAAATAAAGCAATAACTATTTTTGATACAATTTTGAATTCCAATAGAAACTAAGGACTTAGATTTAGCCATTAAGAGAGATGTTATCTATATACCACAAACAAATAAAACAACCTGCCCAAATAAGCAAATGCTTTTATGCCCCAATTAGACAAGAATACATTTTTTTTTTCAGTTGTAGACATTTTTTATGTGGTGCTGAGAATTGAACCCAGAGCCTTGCACATGCTAGTGCTCTACCGCTGAGCTACAACCATAGCCCAAGAATAAACACACTTTTTGAACTTGCTTAGGAATTTTAAGTTTCTGAGTTTGAATAAGCCTTTATTTCCTTAGCCCAGGTTCTACCAAGTTAGCATGGGGAAATGGAAATGCAGGTCAATAGACAAAACTGGGTTTCAACATGTTTTATTTTTGCAGTACTGGGGCTTGAATCTAGGGATGCTATACCACTGAGTTAAATCCCCAGCCCACGTTTTTTTTTTTTTAAATAGACTTTATATAAGTTTCAGATTTATAGAAAGTTATGAAGATCGAGTTCCTATGTATCTCATGCTGTTTCCCCACTATTAACATCTTATAGTACATTTGTTATAATTAATGATGGATATATTACTTTTTTAAAAAAATTATTACTTTTTTTTTTTAGTTTTAGGTGGACACAATATCTTTATTTTACATTTATGTGGTGCTGAGGATTGAACCCAGTACCTCATGCATGCTAGGCAAGCACTCTACCACCGAGCCATAATCCCAGTCCAATGACAGATATATTACTAGTGATACATTAATATCCCTACTTTACCCAGTATGTCTTTTTTCTGTTCCAGGATCCCATATATTTAATTATCCTGTCTCTTTAGGCTATTTTGAGGACTACTGGTCAGGTATTTTGTAGAATATCCCAATAATGGAATCTGCTATTTCTTTTTTATGGTTACATTGGAATCATGAGTTATTGAGCAGCACAATTCTGAAGTAAACTGTGATGTAAATGTGATGCGCTCTTGGTAAGAGTGCATACTATATCAACATGACTTGTAACTGTTGATGTTGACCTTGATCACCTGGCTAAAGTAGTAGTTAGGTTTCTCTATTATAAAGTCACTCTTTCCTTTCATACTTTATCACAATTAAAGAGTGAGAAGTTATGTTCTATCTCCTTTACAAAAAGGAGATAGAACATAACTCCCCTCTACATAAATAAATTTCTTCTATACAGGAGATTTGTTTTATATCCCTTATTTATTTATTCAGTCATCTACATCAGTATAGACTTTGGATATTTAATTGATTCTTTAGATTATAATTTGATTTTTTTAATCCCCCAAATTATTTCAGCTTTGGTTATTGGGAGCTCTTTCAGATGGATTCTTATGCTCCTTAAGCATACCCCTAATAAGTGTGTGTGTGAATGTGTGTGGTTTCTAGGTAGTAAGGGTGCTTTGAACTTGCAATTTTCTTGTCTCAGCCTCCTGAGACAACTGGGATTACAGACATACACCACTGTCCCTGGTTTCCTCCCCTTTACTCCCTTTGATTTTCATGAGATGCACCCCACTTTCTTTTCCCTATCTAGCTTCTACATATGAAAGATAACATATAACTCATAACCTTCTGAGTTTGGCTTACTTTGTTTAACACAAGGTTCTGAAGTTCCATTCATTTTCCTGCAAATGACATAATTTTTCTTTATGGTCCTTAGTCCTTTTTAAAATACTGAGATAAGGTCTTGCTAAGTTGCCCAGACTGGCCTTGAACTTATAATCTTTCTGCTTCAGCCTCTTGTTTTGTTTTGAAAGGACTTTTCTGTTCTTGCCCCAGACCTAACGTCAACTATTTCTCCAGGGGACTTAGTTCCTTTTACTTATGAATGGTATTGGAAACCATGATATGGACACAAAATGTCACCATTGCTCCTGAAGTATCACTGCTCATAGGTCCTCTCAGTTTAACAGAGCACAAAATGTGTGTGTATACTACCGCATCTATTAACACTAACGTATATCAATCTGAATCTATATCAAGCTAAACGTAAGTTCACAATGATAGCCCTGAGTCCATGTGTGCTTTATAACGTATGTTTCTGTGATTATAATAGGAGCCCAAAGGAATTTGTTGTGTCAGTGATCACTCAGAGAGAAGACAGTAAGCATAAGTTGTTATCATTCGGGCTGGGGATGTGGCTCAAGTGGTAGCGCGCTTGCCTGGCATGCGTGAGGCCTGGGTTCGATCCTCAGCACCACATACAAACAAAGATGTTGTGTCCGCCGAGAACTAATAAATATTAAAAAATTCTCTCTCTCTTTCTCTTAAAAAAAAAAAAAAAAAGTTGTTATCATTCTACTCAATGCCTAGAAAATAAGAGTCAATAGGAGATACAAGATTCATAACTGTTGAGGTTGACCTTGCTCACCCTCTGTTCATTAGCCTTTCAGACTGAGAGGTATAGCTGAGTGGAAGAGCTATGGAAACACTGTTCTTAACCTTCCACCATAAATGCTCCCAACTCCACATCACTCCTGCTTTGCCACCAATTCCTACACAATTAAAAAGGATTTAGGAAGGTGTGTTTTTTATTCATATGTCTGGAAAAAAGTTAAAAAATGAAATTACTTACTTGCTTTCTTAAAAGAAAAATACCAAACACTACATTTTCTTAAGTTATACCAAATTCAAACTCTTGCCTGCTTTGAAATCATTAACTCAATATTTTATATCCCCCCCATTTTTTGTGTGTGGGAGGGAGATACTAGGCATTGAACCCAGGGGCACTCTACCACTAAGCTAAACCCATAGTCCTTTATTTTTTTGAGACAGGGTTTTGCTAAATTGCTGAGGCTGGTCTCAAATTTACTATCCTCCTATCTTGGCCTTCCAAGTTGCTGGGATTATAGGCATGTGTCACAACACCCAGATCACCTACCATTTCAAATAAGAAAAAAAAAAAAGTAAAAGCATTTATTTTTTCTTTTAGCAGTGTTAGGATCAAACCCAGGGCCTCATTCATGCTAAGCATGGGCTCTACCATAGAGCTACCTATATACTCAGTCACTGTAAAATCAATTCAAAGAGAAATAAGTATTTTGGAAAATATTAAATGTACCTTTGTTGTCAAAATATTTTAAGTCTGGCTGTCTCATAGAGCAGACACTGTAACAATGATCAGAAAAAATCCCATTGAATCCATCTGCAATTCTGCTTATTCCAGAGGAATCTGAATATAAAACAATAAAAGAAAATTTTAAAATGTTTCAAACATACATATATCTTTAACATATTCAAATTCACATTATTTTCGAAGATAACTCCCTCCCTCCCTCCCTTCCGAGACCCAGGGCCTTGTGAATACAATGTAAGTAGTACTTTACCACTGAGCTATATCTTCGGCACAATTTTAATGATTAAAAAAAAAACATAGCATCTATAATGAAAGTGTATTTTTCTCAGTTTTAAACTTTAACATTTCAGATCTAATACTGACATTTAGCTTTAAGAAAAGCATAAATTACAGACTTTAAAATATAATAACTTTGAAATACATAAGGATAAAATTTTCCTTACAATCAGAATCTCACAAAATACAAATACATAGGGCTGGGATATAGCTCAGTTGGTAGAGTGCTTGCCTTGCATGCGCAAGGCCCTGGGTTCAATCCCCAGCACCATGGGGGGAAAAATACAAATATATAATGAATGCCTTGTTAACTGCACAAAACAGTGAGAGGTATGCCATCAGGCAAAGAAAGCATAATACATAGGGGAAATGGCCTGAAGGGTCCAATGAAAGCTTCTGAATATAATCACTTCAAGTTTTGCCTGGGAAACACCAGTAAGCAGTAGACCAGGCTTAATTTCCTCAGATAAGAAGAATAAGAGCATGGAGTAAACTAACAGGTATGTCTGAGACTGTCTCAAGTATGTGTAAGCTATATCAGAAATGGCCATAAAAACCTCTTCATATTGCCAATACAACACAGCCAACTTCAATCACATAGTCAAATTGAAAGTTCACGTTTCTGAAAAGAATGTATAGGATAAAGTTTTGTTCCCTCAGTAATGCAAAATATTTTCAAATTATCATTGTGTCTTAAGCACAGCTTGGTAATCAGACAGGCAAAGCTCAATTATGCTATATAAGTCGTAATGATGATTAACAAATTTTAAATATCTATAACCCATGGAATTATGAAAATTAAATACAATAATGTCTTTAAAGTTCTAACGTGTCTGTCTCTAGCATATGGTAGACAATAAGGAATATATATTCAGAGAATTTAAAATTTATCTGACCTAAAAATTGATCAGATATTTAAGTCTTATCTAATCATTTGAGAAAATGGATAAGAATACAATTTCTTCGAAAATATACACACTCACCTTTAAATTAATTAACCTATACACTAACCTGAATAACGAGAAGGGTGTAAAGTCTTCCTTTTTCTTTTTTTAGGATACTCATTCATATCTTTTCAATCTAAAAAGTAAAAACATTTAATAAATATCACAAATAATTGTTAATGTTGTAATAAGAATTATTTCTAACCAAAGAATTGCACTAAGAAATGTGTGTGCCACATGAAAATAAATCTTGTACAAGAAATGCTATACAATGTCTCTGTTTATATTTTGGATTACTTTTCCTATTTAGCTTAGAGACAGGACACTGATTTCTGCATTCTTTCTAACTAAGATGGAGAAATTCTTTTTCAAATGTTGTAATGATAAGAATTGGATAACTATAATAAAACTTATGCTTAAAATTTTTATTTTAAAAAGCCCATTATGCTATCAAATCACATTTCCTGCAATTGGGAATATTTTTATTCAGATTTCAAGCTAAAGGTGGATACACTAAAAAATATATTGTTACCATCTCTGTATTGACTCACAGCTTCCAGAAAAATATGCATCACATAGAACCTCAGAATATAAATAATTTTTAAGGAAAAAAAAATCCTTAACTTATTGATAAAGTCACATTTGCTATTCTACTGAGTCAGAAAAGGTGTGGCAACCATTGTATGATTAATTTACCATCAACTGTTTTTGTTTTTTGTGGTACTGGAGATAAAACCAGGGGCACTCTACAATTGAGCAATACCTAGTCCTTTTCATTTTTTATTTTGACACAGGTTCTCACTAACTTGCCCAAGCTGGCCTTGAAATCCCCTTCCTCCTCCCTCAGCCTCCCAAGGTGCTGGGATTATAGGTGTACACCACCATGCCTGGCTCCCACATGAACAGTTATAAAATTAGTTTCAGTACTTTCCACTTACTTGGTATAATTCTTAATATTTCAGTGAGGAAAAATGAATTACAAAGTTTCCACAGGTGGTAAAAAAAAATACCTGTAAGTTAAACATGACAAAAGTCATATAAGCAAAAGTGTGGCTCATTTCTGAGATTCAAAACTACAATTATTCCAGATATTTAATTAACTAGAAAAGTATAAAGAAATAATTCAAGCATAATACTCTTTTGAGTGTATTTTACTAAACACTAAAAATTGTATATACTGATGTGATTATTTATATAAATTTTTCATATTCCTTTGACTTTACCTTCTAAAGTTATAGCTATGAATGATCTCAAAATAGAAATAAATCTGCATTAATATTTTAATCTATTCAGCTGAATGGGAAGTAAACATAGAGAAAACAAATACTGAATCATAGACCTGAAATGGTTAAGGTTCTTAACCAGCCATACAGCAAACTGTGAACCTGTTATTTCATTTAATCCTGTTATGCAAAATCCATAACACCCTCCCCAAATTATTATTTACTCCTTGTTATTGATTAATCAAAGTTGGCTAAGTAGTGAGGTTGGGATTTGAATATAAGTCTAACTAATTTTATTAGAAAAAAAAATTTTTTTGGTCCTGGGGAATAAACCCAGGGCCTTAGGTTGCTCTACCACCGGGCTACATCCCTAGCCACATCTAACCAATTTAGAAACAAAGTCTTCAATTCCTTCATTTAGTGTTGGAAACAAATAGGGAGATAAAGTCACCAATCCAGTTCCAGTAGATTAGTGTTTAAATCAGAACTACCCCCTCATTTCAGAAGAGTGCCTGTCCACAGAAGCATGGGCAAGGAGGGAATACCAGAAACCGAAATCCAGTCTCATGTGCTGTTTTTCTTAACACCAAGGTGATTTTCTCATTTCTAGTGATAAAGAATTGAGGGACACATACTATTTTTGCTGCTTTACTAAGTTCTGGGTATATCAGCACTAGATGCAATCATATAGTAATATACTACTTCAGTTTATTAAGGATTTTCCTAACCCTTATTCTAGATTGTCTTTTAAAAAATTCTGTGATGTACACTGAGAGGCTTACTGTTCAACCCACCTCAATTTTACTGATGAAGAAACATACTCAGTGAAAGTCAAGTCAACTAAGAAATGGCAAAACCAGAGATGCAAATACATGTCTTCTGATTCCTGGACATTGAATAACTCTAACTGTATGTGGGTACATCTTCATGGCTAAGCACTGCCACCACCAAGTTACATCTTGTTTCCAGTTCTTTCTCGGCCAACAATTGTAAGGAGAGGAAGACCGTCACCTAAAAAAAACTGACAAACATGAATTTTACAGAAATGATATAAATGCCTCACCCAGCATATATAAAATGCCCACCCAACAACCTAAAGAGCATTCTTTTGAGTTTCCAGCCCAATCCAATGCATCCAAATATCAAAAAGGCTATTTTCATCTTTATATAATAAGCTAAAATTCCAAGACTTATCCCTAAAACCTTTTATACACTTCGAGAATTTATAGCCAAAAGCTTCAGAATTCATATTCTATACACTCTAAAACAACAAAAACTTTTTGTATGCATAATTATCTTGATGAAGAAATTTGATTTTTTTTTATTCAAAGCTATCAATATAAACATTTATTCACTAAAACAGGTTTGGCGGAACACACCTATAATCCCAGCCACTGGGGATACTGAGGAAGGAGAAGCATAAGATCAAAGCCAGCCTCAGCAATTTAGCGATTTACCTTTTCTCCAAATTAAAAAAAAAAAAAATTATTTTTTTTTTTAAAGGGCTGGGGCTGTAACTCAGTGGTAGAGCACCCCTGGGTTCAGTGTCAGTACCAAAACAAATATCTGCTCACCAATCCTCCTCCTATCACAAAGATTTTGAATCACATGCAACTTCACTCATTCCCCTCTCCCCACTTAAGTACAAACTATACATAATGTTTCCCCGCGGGAAAATTAAAATTACTAAAAAAAGCAAATCACCTACAATCCATTCACCTGGAAAAACCACTATTAACATTTTGGTATGTACACCTACACTTCTTCCTATGATATGGTATACATTCACAAAAGGGGGGCATGCCATAAGAAACATTGTTTTTAAGAAAGTATTTTAGCAATACAAGTTAGCATCTTTTCACCCGTCATTTTTTTTCAACAAGAACGTCTATATACAAAAAACAGTTCTCATACTGTGCCTTTTGTGCAATGCAAAAGTCTTTCTTGATAAATGCTATAAGACATCTTTACAATAAGAAGCTACATTTTAAACAAGTTTTAAAAGAGCTAAACTTTCCTTTTTATCTTCATAAAAATAAGTATATATTTTCTAGATTTTTTAAAAAAAAATTGAAACAAAATGTTTCAGGAGAGTATGAACTAGAGTCCACTATATATTCACCTTGGACTCAGTCTCTACTGAAATACTTTAGCACAATCGATATCTCTTTGTAAGGAGATAAACTGCTTAATTTACTGGTGTCCCTAGGCTGCACTTCAAAGAAAGCCAGAGAGGGTGGCGGGAGGGGGCTTAAGCACCCGAACGGGTGGGTCTGGGCAGCTCTGGGAGACTGGGCGCCGGGACCCACGCGAGCACCAAGATGCGCCGCCGGAGGGTCACGGAGCTGCCGGGCACGGCGGGAGGGCCAGCGTGGCACCACGCCGCAAAACACATGCCCGTCCGAGGGGCCGGGCAAGAATCCTCGGTCCCCGCCGCCTCCACCGAGCGCCACGCGCCCGCCTCGACTCGGCCCAGCCACTAGCGGCTGGCGCTGGGGAACTCCTAACCACGACCCCACGGGCGCCCCGAAGGAAGAGGCGCGGGGGGCCGCAGCGTCCTCGGCCAGTCAGGACCTGCTTTGGGGGTGGGGGAGGGGGACGCCATCCCGCCTTAAACCAAGGCAGGGTTTCAGTTTGAGGAAGCCTCCGGCCCTTCCTGCCCTCTCCGGTTGGAAGATGCGCCCGCACGCCGGCGTCCCCTGCAGCAGTCCAGCGCCCAGCCCGTCCGCTCCTCCCTCACACTCACCGTTTCCCCGGGCCCCAGCCGGCCCAGGCACAGATGAGGTGGCTGCGGCCGAGCGCGGGCAGAGAGGGCCGCAGGCGGCGGGCGACGCCGCTCAGGCCCTCGCGCTCCAGGGCGCTCTGTCAGGACCGGCCCTCTCCCTCCCGCGCGCCCCAAGCCCAGCCGGCTAGGCCCCAGGCCCAGGCTGCGCGGCCGCACTCACCGCCTCGCTCCGCGCCTGCGCCGCTCACCTCGGGGGCCAGAGGAGAGGGCGGGGAGGTGACGAGGTGATGGAGGGGGGGGGGGGGGGGGGTGCACTGCCCCGCCGCACACTCGGCCTGGGAGGGACCACCGGCCTCCACCCCGGGGGTGGCCCGGAGGCCCGTGCCCCCTGCCGGCGCCTTTCCGCCGCCGCAGGCCCCTTCCGGGCGAGGTACCGCCCCTCCCGAGGAAACGCAGCGAGTGATTCCACCCGTAGAACTGCTCCTAGCCAGGCGGCCGGACGAACTTCCCCCTGCTGCTCCGTCCTCCCTCCCGCGCTGCAAGGAACCGCAGAAGCGCGGCGTGCAAGCAGTCCCCCTTGCGACAGTGCTCTCTCAAGGGCGGTAACGCGACTGATCTTGCCCAGGTTAGGCAAGGCAGATGGCATTTCAGTCCTAAAGCATGCCAGCACCCTGTAGGCGACAAAAAGGGCAAGGCCGCGTCATGGTTTTACCGAGGCCCCACCGAAGAACCACACCGGGCTAGGATCGTGTCCACAGGGAGAGGTGACACTTGTTAAGATCTTGAGTGGCTGTTAGGCTTCAGCCCGTTGCGTTGGCTCCAGAAATCTTGGAATGAACATGAAATTATATAGAGTGCTGGATTAGATTATTTCACTCCTTTTCCGACCTAGAGGTTCCTTGAGCAGCTAATGAAAGGATTAAATTGAACGAGCATAAATAAATTTATGAACACGTTTTTTTAAATGACTGTAGGGCTGAGAATACAGCTCAGGGGTGAAGTGTGTACTTTGCAAGCGCGAGGCCTGAGGTTCGAGCCCCAACACCATCACAGAGAAAAATCAAGAAAGAAAGCAACTTTTAAGTGTGATCATGTTGAATCCCCCTCAGCCCTCATACTGAGAATGGAAGCCAGGTCTTGGTGCATACAAAACACTACCACTGAGCTTTACCCCCAGCCCCTAATCCTTTTGACAACAGGTTGAAGTAATTAGTATCAATTTACAAATTAGAAAATTTAGCTTGTGAGAGATTGACACTTTATTTTTATAGACAAAGCACCCAGGGTTCAAATAATTATGAATGAATGAGGTCCATATATAATAATCTTTGTCCAAGGTCACTTGGAAAGTCATGTCAGCAATTTATGATTTTTAATTTACTTCTGTTGTGCTTTTTCTGATACGCATGTGCTAATTAACCAATGAACCTCTGGAAAGGAGGAAACAGACCTTACCCCATTCCTTCACCCTCTCTAAGGAAATAAAGCTATATGGTATTTAGAAGAGACACTACTTGTTGGTGAGGCTTAATTTTTATGACCTCATAATCTTTGTGTGTATTCAGTTCAAATAAACGAATGCTCACGAATGTTGGTATGACTTGGATAAAGTACGAAGAGACTTAAAGCTGTTTTGTAGTATAGTTTGTCCCTGGCACAGAACAGGGAATCCATACGCGATTGATACATAAATTTATAAAGAACCACCTATATCCTTCCCTTCCTTCTCTGCTGGTTCTGTTGTTTCCTGATCTAGATATAGTGGAAGCCACAAGAGGGTGTCATGCGACCATCTTTAGTTATTTTTGCTCGCTGGGTAGTCTTGTGTCAGTCTGCATTCTAGGATGAAGTTTTATTCCAAAACGTTTTGTAGTTAAACACACATCTTACCCTCTCCTACCCAGTGCATTATTTTGAAAAATTCTCACACTGCCACTTAGAAGAGAATTACAATGTTTAGATGTCTTGTAACATAATCACAAATCAAAGGCAATTTAAAGTTCTTTGAG